TTCATCTAAGATAAAAATATTCTTAAGACAATTACGACAAAGTTTGAGGAGTGTGAACTAGCTAGCAAGCCATCGTGATGTGATGGTTTTATATCCTCGAAATTTGAAAGCGTTAAAAGTAATAATCAACGTTCTTTAAGAGACTATAGAGGAATTGGAGCCACGTGAGCAGCTCTAAATCTCGGCAACGCCCATCTAGCTAGAATCTAAAACAATTCGTTGTGCTCCAAAAAAAAAAAATTTGATTTTGAAATAGTGTTTTTTGAAGAATGTATGATTAAAAAGTAAGGAGAATTTTTGGAATTATATGTAATACTATTTTATTAAAAGAATATGTAGTTGATAAGAGGAGAAAGAAAAATAAATTAAAATTTAATGGAGGTCAAATATGAAGAAATATTTTTATCACTCTCTTTTTATTCGGAAGTATATTACTCTTCAATTATTATAATATTATATTTAAATATAATAAAAATATTTAATAATATATGAATCTGTAACTAATTTTCAGTAAAACATTTTTTTTAATTTTTTTTAAATAAAGAAGAGCATTTCATTGGAACTGAATTTGAAAACCCTGCAATTGCGATTCAAGTTGCAGTGGACACGTTCGCTCAAATGCCGCAAAGAAGGACTACTTTGAACAGAAATGTTGATTAAGAGCCCAAATTTCCATCATGGGGCAAATCCCCACTTGGTGTATTTTGCACTCTCTATCATATGATGTCAAGGATGCTAATCCAGTTCTCTCAACTACAAAGTCAGCTTTCTTTGTTTATTAATATAAGCCCCTGATATAAGGTATGCTTTGTCTCTCAACTTGCACTTATTTTGCTGGAAATTATCAAATGGCGTTAAGACTTGTTCTTCATCGTTTACTGCACTGCAGAATGTCAACGAATTACACGTTTTCAAAGCTATTACAACTCATATATTCATCGTACATTCTACATTTTCTAATTCACAACTAAAATATACAGAGAGGGCATGTTTAGTACTGTGTACTTGACGTGATTAATCAGTATATTTCAGTTCTAAACTCCACCATATCATGCAAGCTAGAAGAATTTCCCTATCTCCATCCTGTTGACATTCTCTTGCTGCTATATCTTTTAAAGTGGGAAACTATACTAGCTTGTTGCATTTTCATTATAAGAAGATCCTGCATTCAATTTGTAGAGACTGAATCAACAAAATTAACTATGTTCACAAGAATATTAGGCAAGTATACACTGCAAATTTGTTGTCATTTGCATTTTGCATTTCCAGAAAGTAGCATAATAATGAGTTTGTTTTATCCTCGAAGTGTTTCAAAGGGTTTGAATTGTTGAAATATCTAATAACTAATTTGCCACTTGTTTCTTTCTCAATGTAGCCTTGGCGTGGGCCGACATATTGGCAGGGTATTCCTTATGGATGTTGATGATATACTTAACCGATGTATGGAAGCTTAACATCACACACGCTTCGGCAATTGTCAATGCGTTTCTGGGTTTAATAGGAATTTTGCCCTTTGCTATGCTATTTGTAGCAGACACTTTCCTTGGCAATTTCTGGATGCTCTTATTCTCGACTCTCTCATTTTCTACGGTACATCTTATAGTCTCTCTTATTCAAATGTTTGAAGTAGGTTGATGGCTAGTTCAAAACTGTCAAATCTTATTGTGTATATCCTAATACGCATTGATCTCCTAATAGATATCAATCAACTGAAAGAATGGTGAAAGGGATTCATGTAGGCTGTAGCCGACCTTAAATTTATTGAGAAATGGTCTTCGTTTCTTCTTTTTCTTGTTGTTTCCTCAATATTAAGGTCTTATTTATCCCACATATATGATTTTGGTATCCAGGGAATGGGCATGTTAACTATGTCAACTCCACCAGTTCTGGCGAACGCCCTGGACACGTGCAGTGCCTATGATCCCGAGTGCATTGGCAACGGCCAGCGTATACTGTTTTACGCAGCTATTGTTCTAATAGCAGTAGGGATTTCTGGTCATGCAATTTCCTTGGGGACTTTCATTGCTGAGCAATTTTTGGATGCAATAGAAAGGGCTGACATAAACGGATTTTCAATACTGACTATGTTTGGTGGTAATATTGCTACATTCATTATCACTACTGTGGCAGTTCTGGGACTTCCATACATAAAGCCCTGGTCACTTCGATTTGGAATTCCAACAATTTGCATGGTAGTGGCTATGGTAATATTCTTGAGTGGTTCGCATCGTTATACGCGTAATAGGCCATCTGGAAGCCCATTGACAATTCTGTTTAGGGTGCTGGTAGCATCTGCCTCCAAGTTTTTTGAGCAGAGGCCTGTGGATGTGAATCAGTACTATGGAGTCCTAGAGTATTCTGCTGTAGTAGATATACTGCCACCTATTCGTTGTTGGAGGTTCTCTCTCTCTCTCTCTCTCACACACACACACACACTGACACACGCACACACGCACACCCCCCTCTTAGACAAACGCACACTTGAGAACACATGCTTGCACATGAACATGGATGTTTGTTCTAAAAATGTCAAGAAATGTGTGCATCCCCCTAGATAAATCTACTTTGACTGTGATTTGAGGCCCTTAAACTATATGCACAATGGCATTATCTTGAAGCTGGCTTTTGATTCTTTCATATCCCTGTTTAATCTTATTCGCTGGATTAAGTTGAACGACCTCTACTAAATGTTTAATCGTTGGAGCAGGGAAAATCTATTTATTTTATATTTTTTTCTTATATCAAATGTTTGAGACTTGCACGTTGTTCATAAATGGGAGGTTACGAGACTCCAACATAGTATCTTTATGTTCTCTAATACCATGTTAGACTACTTAATCTAATGCTTTCCAGGGTAACAGAATAAGGAAATCAACAATTTCCAATGTTGCACTACTCGTTTTACTCTTGAGTAAGATTCTAAATTATTCATAAAACATGGAAACTTTTTTGCATGTAATGTAATTTCCCAACATACAGGTGCTTTGAGAAAGCTGCAATAATATTGCCTGACCAGTCACTTGAGCAACAACAACAGAACAGATGGAAACTTTGCGCATTGACAGAAGTGAGAAATGCTCAATACATAGTCTACATGATTCCCATGGCAATGGCCTTTATTTTTGGGGGTTTATTATCTTCATTGTCACATACATACTTTATTGAGCAAGCAAAGAATATGAACTACAAGGTAGGAAGCCTAACAATACCCATTACAGTCCTTTTCTGGTTCTATGCACAAGGAAGACAATATTTTCCCAAACTATACTTTGGATTTGCCAATTGTGGACCAAATGCTCGATTCTATGCTCCCATACTTGGCATTTCAGTGTCAATGATGCTTGGAGTGCTTTGTTGTATTACTGCTGCGAGCGTGGAGTCTCGAAGACTGGATGTGGTTAGAAAACACGGTTTGCTGGGGAAACCCGATGATACAATTCCAATGAGCGTTTTCTGGCTACTTCCACAGTATATTCTTCTCCGGGCTGTAGACGGGATTCTTGAATTCAGCACCGCGGCTTTTCTCAATAACTACTTTATTCTCCCATGGAGCCAATTCATGCTTACTTTTACTAGTCTTGGACAAGGCTTGGGATGCCTTGGCAGTGTGCTGTGTGTGTATATTGTTGGCAAGCTGAGTGAAAGGGGAGGAAATCCGAGTTGGTTTCAAGGCACGCTCAATGAAAGTCGACTCGATAAGTATTATTGGACACTGGCATGGTTGATTGCCAGCAACATTGTCCCATTCATTGTCTTGAGATTCTGGTATGGTCATATGCAAAAAAAGGAGGAGGATGCTCCTGCTGAGACCCAATGGTGTTGCTGTTGTTAGATGTGTATGTTTATACCTCTTTTCTTCTTCTTTTTTTCCTGTTTGTAAGTTAATCATATTCATCAATATTTGTATACTGTGTTTTGAATTTCCAGAACTACGGTCCAGAAAATAAGGTCATGTTCAGTGCATTGGATTCTTGGATTAGACGCTTATGGAGTTCATTTGCCAAACATATACTAATCCATTGCATTAACATCAATGTTTTAAAAAGCGTAAAGCGTGAAGGAGAGGTTTCAAGATTTACGAGTTTAGACGCAAAAACACATTTTCTTATTTTTAATATTATTTTTAATTTTTAATTATTTTAAAAATTATTTAATAATTAAAATAATACATATCAAACATCTAAAATTATAAAATACTATAATTTCTACCATTAATCAATTATACATTTTTAAGTTTTTGAAATGCATAAATTAGAATATTTTTCATACAATTTCCAACTAGACAAGTTATACTTAATAGATTTATAGGAATGTCATATATGCGTTTGGAATTTACAACAATATAACAAGTTTTAAGATCATAATTACATAATATAGATAACACAAAAACCCAAATCTTATTTAACTATTTAAATAAAGTCATTTTTAACTTTTGTATAAATAAAATCTTTTAAATATTTAAAATTAAAGTCAAATGAAAAGTCTTTTTTAAAAATAAAATAAAAAAATTAATAAACTAAAGTCAAATAAAAGACTTTCCACCGTTTAGGAATTGAAAAAAAAAATGTCTAGATACAAAGTGACGTGTTTTGCTCGAGCTTTGAGCCTATGCACAGCTTGTTAGAAGACTGATTAATAGTATTTGGTCATTTGCCAAAAATTTTTCTGTTTTACATGGGATAAAGATTATCCTAAAATGTTTTGCATGATTACAACGTCGTATTTTTAGCTCAAAAGGTAACAGAAATGTAACCTTTCAATGATATATTAGTATATTACCATTTAGCCTTTGTTTGATCCCTATCATTTTCAACAATACATTTTTTCCTTTCTTTTCAACCCCACATTCTTTAATAAAATAATATTACATATTTTCCTTATTTTTTAACAACATTCTACATCAATCTACTATTTCAAAATTGAGTAATGCCATTTACAATCATGATGATAAATAATCGATGATGTGATAACTTATTACCCTTACATCTCTCTCTCATTTAAATTGAATTGTTCAATCTCATTATTTCACATCGACTGTCACATTATCGATGATGATAAATAATATTATTCTTTCGAGATGCATTCTTACAATAAAATAGAGCTCAAACAGGGCCGTAAAGATGTTTAATTTGTTGAATTTCTTACCTAAACCATTTGATTTCTTGGCACAACCTCAATTCTTTATTTTCATTTACATCCTTTTCTTACACATCATAGAGCCATTCCTAGCAAGAACTTTCAACTGAATTTGATCTTTGCAAAGATGAAGAGGAATTCAAGAACTCGATGCAATCCTCTATAGCCTCGGCCCGCTGAGAATCAAGGTTTTCAGCATATGAACGTGACCCTGCCAAAGTCAAACTAGACAAAGAAACTTTACGCGAATATCTCTTTCTAGTAGACACAAACTGCAGAGCTCTCGCCATCTTTGCTCCAATGCCACGGAAGAATCTAACGGGCGAAAATCCAAGACTTTTCACGGGTCTGAAACTCCATAGTATAATGACTTTCTTGTTTCCACCAACTTTTGTGCCACCACCATGTTTGTGGCAGATTGGTGGCTTCTCATTGGCAGGAATGAATCTCACCCTTGGCATCGTCGTGCTAATGAGGGCACAGTAAGTTTGAGTGCATTTGTCGAGAGAAAGAGAGAGATGGAGAAAGAGGGAGAGATGGTGATGGAGGATGAATATATTGTGCATTGATGAGCAACAGAAAAAGAAGACAGGAGAACAGATAAGAGGTTAAACTTGTATGGGAGTCCCCAAAATGATTGCACTCAACAATTACAACATTTAAAGACTGCGATTTCTTAGGGGCTAAACAATTAATTGATGTGCCATTTAATTCTTAGGACCTACCATGAATTTATTTACCAATTAATTAATGTGTCATTTGGACCTGTCATGAACTTATTCATCATTTAATTGATGTGTTATTTCGCCGGTGCTCAGCATAAACTGAAGCACCGGTGCTTAACTATACATGCATATATAATATGTAATGTTTGGTATATTAAACTAGACACAATCTTCTATATATGTTATTACATCTCTGTCATACTTGAAAAAAAAATGTATACTGGCCTCGAGAATTTCAGTGATACAAGTATGAACGATAGAAATTTATGCTTAGAGAAAGATGAAACAAAATCATTAAATATTTTGCCTGGTCAAAAAGAAAGAAATGGAGGGAGGGGCCCCTAAGAAGAATTGGATAGTGTGTTATAATTACAAGGAAAAAGATAGGGGGTGGGGTGGGGAAACTCTCATCTTAGCCTTTATTCAAAGATGGAACTACTGAAAAATAATGTTCTGGGAAATCTTGAGTTTCACATAAATTCACAAAGACTTTAAAATCTTGGAATTTGAAGAACTTGAAATTACAGAAAATGGTCAAAGTCTCCATTAATGAATTCAGGAAAAAATGAACAAGTTGGATGCTACCTTTAGACTATTAGAGCATATGTAATGCATTGGTGAATTGCTAAAAATAAATTCCACAAGCAAAATAAATAGCATGAATAATGCTATCTAACACCAACGATGACCAATTCTCAGGTTCAATGTCTTAAAACATCAACGAGACAGTGAATCTTTCAACTTGCATCCCACCGACATGACAATCCATAGAATACAAGGGATCTACACCCCGCCGGTGTCTACAACTGCACATCATCACATTTATATACAACAATAAACTAAATTTTATTCTCGAAAAGCTTAGAGTTCGTAAAGTGCTTGAATCTTTTTCCATCACTTGATTCAATGAACTGCTACATCCATAGAATATCCAATGGAATCAATTTTTATACATGAATACGACGCCATGTTTATTTTGATTTACATCTCTCTTATAATTTGTTCTGTTGATAATTCTATTACACGTCACTCAATTTTTTTTTTAAGTTTGGTATGTAATAGTACAATGAACACTTTTCCTTCTCTAATCATATCGAACACTTTTATCAAACATGACAGGTGGTTTTTCTTTATATTATATGCAATTAGTGATGCTTACACTAACTGTGTATGAACATTTATTTTTATTTTTTTTCAGTCCTACGTAGTAGTAATCGAACATAAATTCCTAATCTGGGGTGTAGGAGTTCATTTTTGAACCCCTAAAAGTTGATTTCCTAAGCTATCTCACAAACACAGAGGACAAGCATCAACATTTGAAATATGTTAGTCAAATTGCTTTGTGCCTCGATTTGTAGATGCAAGCAAGATTTTTATCCTATCCAAGAAAGTGTATTGTTTACTATAAATCAAATGTGCAAGCGAAAGAGAATAAAATGGCGAAGCAAAATTAAGTCAAATTCTCATCAAATATCTTGTATAAATCTAAAAGCTTAAAAGTTAGAGAAAGAATTAATTATAAGCATGGTGGGAAGAGTGGGTGGGTGTGGATAAGAAGCATTTACTCATAGAAACTGTAACATGGATACATATATAACAGGTTTCAACAAAAATGGCAATCTGCAAAAGATGGAACGAACTCTACTCATTATTCCACCATCAATCTACAATAATGAAAAGATTCCGAGGGACATGGACCGGATCAATCTGATTCTAACCTTGCAATATACTGGTCGTAGTATTTTGCAGCTCGTTCCAAATCTCCAAGCTCAGTGTAACAATCAGCTATTGCTCCATAAGCTTCTGTATTTCCCGACTCCTCGCCTTCTCTTTGAGAAATTTCCAGTACCAGAGAATGGTACTTGATGGCTTCCCGGTACTTACCCTGCCGTTGCAGTGATGCCCCTAAAAGAGGAATAATTATTTTCTTAGAAACCAAACTATTTGAAAAGAATTACATGATACATGGAGCACATTGTACAATGCAATCTAAAAATAAAATAAATAAAAAAGAACAAAAAAGCCCATCCAGAAAAAGAAATGTGTGCCTGTGTTAATATGCAGATGAACTACCATTAGAGGAGAATGATTTTTTCATCATTAGTAGTGACAATAGCCAATCTAGGTGGCAGTGAACCCTTGATTTATTATCCAACAGGTTTGTGATACATTTTCATTCATTAGACAATGAATCAATGGGCCCACTGTCCCCTAGACCTGTGATCATCACTATTAATGATGAATATCATTATTCATTAGAGAAACAAGAATAATTTCCATCTTTCTTTTTCAGTCATTTTATGGAGAGAGGCACTGATAGATGTAGAATACCACAATTTGCCTATGCCTTGATTCACAAAATTTAGAAAGGACTCAAACGACTATCAGTTCACCAAGAAACCTCTCTCTCTCTCTCTCTCTCTCTCTCTCTCACACACACACACACACACACACCCCCACCCACACACACCCATACATCCAGGAACATTGGAAGCCTGAATGTCTAGTTTCCAGGAGGCTGACTCATTGTCGAGTTTCAGCTGTGGCAGGTCTCAATTACTAAAAACTGAAAATACATACCATACATTCGTATTATTTCAAGGCATTAAATTCTACAGTTGTGAGTGTATATAGCATCACATTTCCAGAAAATCAGCATCATTAAAATTAAAAACGACAGAGATCATAATCGATAAAATTGACATACCTAAGCCCCTTGCAGCCTTCTTTTCCTCAATCGGATCCTTTAGATTCTGCGCAAGTTCAAGAGCCGCCTTGAACACTGAGAATGCCCTCTCAGGATCTTGATTTCTCAGAAAATTCTTTCCATTTTTCAGACTAGAAATTAGGTCTTGCTTCCTTGAATCCACAATCACTTCATTCTCTGCTATCCTTCCACTAACAGGAGCATAGCTCAAACTGGGTGCATAAGATTCGATCTTAGCTTGCCTTCTCAAAGCTGCATTGATCTGTCGCAGCTGTTCATTCAGTCGCTCCATTTCTCCTCTTCTCTGTCGTGCAAGTAATCCTGCATTACAAAATACAAAACGATTAATTAAAGGAATTGAAGACTATGCTTCAAAATTAAGTAAATAGTTACTGCAAGTCTGGATAAGTTATCTTTTTACTTTTTAAAGTAACTCGCGTTAGAATAAGTAACTTACTTTTCAACTTTTGATCAATATTCTTTTAAAACTTACATATTTTCCTATAAACAAACTTATAAGTAAACCTTTTAATCTTAGTCAAAGACGCTCTAGCTTTAGATACAGAAATCATGAAAAGTAGTGACAGGGAATTCGATGGAATATGATTAATCCAACTTTGTAACTACTTGATTTCTATCTTGCCTGCAAATCTACCGGCTTACAGGGAACAGAGTCGAAGGGTTGCATGAATTTGCAGGGGATTTACCTCCAACGGTGGCTCCTATAAGGGAAACAAAAAGCAACAATGGCATACTGAAAACAGAATTCTCAGCTACACATGTTTCTGCAAGTGCTTCTGGAGCAGTAGTTAACATTAATGCATTTGCCACAATAACTGCTGTTGCAGGGAATCCGGAAATTGTTTCCTGCCGAAGGATTTTGACAGAATTCAAGAATAAAATACGAGTTTAATCAGATCAGCGCCAGACTTGAGTTCATTACCAATTACAAGTACAACAAAACAATGCAAAGATATACTAACTTGGAACAATTAAACGTTTCTCATGTACAAGTACTTTGAAACGGCATTGCAGTTTTGCTTGGGGATTTAGCTAGAACAATATAATGTTTCTAAAATCTAATCCTAGATCCTTTTCATGCTGTAAAACATCAGAAAGTTTCTTTCTGCATATTCTGAAATACAATGACTAACGTTTTTACATTCCCAAATGACATGAGATTTTTTTTTTTTTGATAGATAATCCAAAAAATTTTATTCTTCAAAGAAGAATACACAGGAAGTGTATTATCAACTTATACAAGAAAGAAATGACATAAAGTTAGGCAACCCTTCTATAGGATTACTAGTTGCGACATTAAACCAACTATACGAAGTCAGAAAAAAGAATTCTCTAAATTGCTCTGTGGTCCGTGCTTGGTCCTCAAANCGCTCAAAAAAGTAAGTGAAAACATCAATAATATCCTGCCGCACCACCTCCCAACACGCCTTATAAAATGAGAATGAAAAACCGTCCTGGAGCCTTATCATCATTCATACCAAACACCACCTCCTTAATTTCATCCTCCCCAAATGGTCTCTCCAACCATCTGGCCTCCTCCTCCTTAATAGTAGAGAACTCCAAACCCTCCAACTCTGGCCTCCACCCAAACGGTTCCCGATATAGAGTCTGATAGAATCTCACCATATGGGTCCCAATATCCTGTGGATCCTCATAAGTAACCTTATCAACCTCCAACACTGTGACAGAATTGTTACGCCTGTTAGAATTGGCTACCCTATAGAAGAACTTGGTGCATTTATCTCCTTCTTTCAGCCACGTGACCCTGGATTTCTGGCGCCATACAATCTCTTCCATCTCCACCAACTTCGCAAGCTCTTCCATTAATACACCACGTCTCTCCTTTTCCTCCCTATCCAACCCTTGAATCTCCTCAATCTTATCCAACACTTCTATGTCTGAAAGACATTGGACCTTACGAAAATTCACATTACCCACCACCTCCTCATTCCACCTTCTTAAATCTTTTTTTAATGCCCTCAACTTCTGGTCCAACACATAATTGGGAGACCCCGGGAAATTATAAGAAGCCCACCAATTTCGTACACGCTCCCCAAAGCCTTCCACTTTTAACCACATCTTCTCAAACCTAAAAGGCCTTATTCCACTACCTCTAGTATTCCTAGCTAACAGAATAGGGAAATGATCTAAATACACCTTTCCCAATCTCCTCTGAATAACATCCGAGTACTTAGCCTCCCACTCCCCGCTAACTAAAAATCGGTCTATACGAGATAGGACAGGTTGATCCCTATTCGAAGATCAAGTAAAGTCTCCCCCAATCATAGGCATGTCCACCAATAAATTCTCCCTAATAAAATCTGAAAATTCCTCCATAGCCCCAGTTAGCCTCCCACCACTCGACCTTTCAGTGGGAAATCGAACCACATTAAAATCACCCCCAATACACGTTGGGAGATTCCACCGAGCCATCATACCAGTCAACTCATCCCACAAGTCCCTTCTACTCTCATCAGAATTAGGTCCATAAACTCCTATGAACATCCAATGAAATCCATCCCCAATATTTCTAAGCGAGAGCGACAGCGACAGCGACAGCGAGTATGTCCCAACACTAACATCCTCCATGTCAAACACTCTAGTGTCCCACATGATTAGCATGCCTCCTGATGCCCCTAAAGACCCCAAAAACTGATATCCAACATACTCACTTAAAAATTTCCAAATACTCAGAGCTGGCCCTGGGCTTCGGCAGCATAGGCAGCTGCCTAGGGCCCCAAAAATATAAGGCCTGCTTTTCTTTTCTTTTTTAAAGACAAGCCAAAATATTTTTATAATGTAATTTTGGATAAAGCATTAATTTCTATAAGATTGAAAGGATTGGCAATGGTGTCTACTGAAAAACACTTGTTAAAAAAGAATGATTTTACGATTTTAATTGTTGATTTTTATCTAAAAATGCTAGAAGAGTAAATTTAAATTGGACTTTCGAAAATTTAATCATCACATGTAATTTTATTTTCAACTATTCGTAGAAGGCTCCATATAATGTTTGGCCTAAGGCCACCAAAATCTCAGGGCCGGCCCTGAAATACTCGAGCCTAATGTTCAGTCACTGCTCCTGTCCACAAGCTCAGGCCATCCAAATATATAGAACTAAGAGCGTGTTCTGCTATGCTGAAAATATATTTTTAATTATATTCTTGTGACAAACATGTTCAAACTTTTTGGGAAGCTACTCTGTTTTTGGGCCTTTTGGTGCAATAACTATTAGGGCCTAAACTACTGCCCCAAAAAACTTTCTCCCAAGTTGTTTGCATTCAAGATCATCATAAACTACACAAACTGTTCCAGCTTAATTAACATGGATTGGGTGTTATATCCTGTTTGTATTCCAAGAGATTTAATTGACACAATTCAAGAATTCTTCACTCTTCATTCCTTATGGCTTCCCCTTTCAGTCAAACCATATGAAAACCATAAAATCTGATTTAAGTGTTTTAAGTTATAACTCGAAGCATTAACGCATGAGCATTTTATATGTTTTCCAGTATCTATTCTTATTTTTCTAGGTTCACATGCTTCATGTTGAATGGGCTTAGTTTCTCTAATTCGTGTGAACAAGTCCAGCTCCAATTTCGTGCTTTGGATTTAGACTCGACACTTCAAAGCAGAGAAACCTACTTCGCTTTTCAGTTGAATTTAATTCATAAATGTTGTCCTCGTTAATTTTCAGAAAAAAAAAAGACCTACTCGCAAAAGCTCAACACAATTCTTACACCCAAAAAAAAACATCAAAATATTATTTAGGGACAGCAAAATCTCTAAGCGGACTTGTAACAAGATTTCATTACTTCCCAACTAAAATTATACAAAAGGAATTAAGAATCAGTTTGCAGAAGAACCCATTACCAAACTCTCAAATTAACAAATTACATCGCATGAACTACCTAGAAAACAAGAATTCCATCATTCTAAGAGTTCCATCTAAAAATAAATGTTAAAATAACCCACTTCTTTAACACTTGAAAGTACCTTAAAGTCAACAGTGGAGAGCACTTCATACTTAAAGCCTCCATCTTTACTTTCTTTTCTCAAATGGCTGCTTGTACCACAGGTATTAGGACTTGTGCCTTTTAAAGTGGCAAATATTGTGAAAGGAGAATAGGGTTTTGCAGATTGTGGGGTTTTGATAGCGCTTGGGGAGAGTCCGCAGACAAAGTGGGGATGGCGAGAACTCCATGAGAGAAGCCCTTGCTTCATCAAAATGCTCATCCTTTTCCGTTCTTACTGTTCTGAATTTATGTTTTGTTTATTGCTATTAGATTGTTTTTCTTTATTTTAGAAGGTAGAGAGAGTAATGGGGTGGGTGGAAGGTTGGATTGTGGATTGAAAAATTTGGGACAAGTTCGATCGTATTTAAAATTCAATTAAAATTGAAAATATAGTGGTTATTGAATTTTACTCGTTTAATCAAAGTCAACAATAACGTTTATTTTTTCAATTTTAATCTAATTTTAATCCCTACCGAATAAACCCTTAAAAGAAGCAAAGAATTAGGCGCTAGGTGTCGCGATTTCCCATTGTTGACATAATTCAAAAAAAAATTTTTTTTTTTTTTGCCCATTAACGTTTCCCCCACACGTTTTAAATCTAACATGCAACTCCGTCCTCTTTCTCAATTTTCCCACTCAACCAACCATATATCTTTACTCCTCAATTTCCCCACAGCTCGTTGGCTCAAATCTTGCCAATTAATGGGCTGATGTATCTTGCTTTGCTCTTATGGTAACTCTCTGAAAACATAAATTAATTCACTTTCTTATATGGATTGTGAAGATTTCATTAACTTATTTAATCAAATTTGTATCTGAAATTGTCAGTTGAAAAAAATGTTATGTTGGGAGATAAAAAGATTGGATTTTTGGGTTATTTTGATAGTTTATTAGAGTGGATTTTTTTATACATATAAAGTCTCGCTTTAGCCTTGTCATTCAATATATACATTCGTACATTTGTTTATGGGCCTATTTTTTTCTTTTTAGTTTACTGATTTGGTTTTTGTTCTATATTATTTTTGTGGGAACTGTGTTCACAGTAGTGGGTGTGGAGTATGGTTCTGTTCAAAAACATTGTGGAGCATGCTTCTTGAAGTAAGTGATTGGTGTGATTGTCTTCTATTTTTTTTTCCAAACATATTTACATAAATTTCTCCTTGTTACTCATTTCCTATTATCCCCTTTGGTCCTTTCCATGGATCTGCTATCCGATCAATTTATGGGCTCAAGCTATTTTTTGACACGGTGCAAATTCTTATTTGCTTATATATTAATTGCGTGCTTGTTAGCATTTGGACCATCCCAAATTTTATGGCATGACTTATAAATGGGTAGACACGTTATTTCTCTACGTAGTTGGGTGCTTCCCAATTAGTTGAGTTTGTATATAATTTGTTTGAAATCATCATTAAATTTGTATATAGTGTTTGATATATTGGACTTGTGGTGGTTTGTAGGTGATACATTTGTTGGGTATACTTGGATTTGGAGCATTCTGCTTTTATTTGGGTGCAAGTAAGTGAAACAACGATGACTTTTTGTTTACTTGTGCTTTATTCTACATTTCTAAAAAATTGTTGTCATTTATTTTGGATCTTAGTTTAGACGGCTAATTAGTAAACATGAAAGCTATATTCTAAATTATGTTGTTTCATTTTTAGTACTCAGATATAAAATTGTATGGTCATTTTAAAAGAATAATTTACCGAGTTAAATTGTCAAAAAATAATCTAAACTGCTATATTCAAAAAGCCCTTTTGGATTACAAATTTTTAACTTCATACTTGTTTGGTCGCAAAGCGCTTTCAATGTTCGTTCTTAAACAATTTTTTGCAATCTTTAAAGTCTTAATAGTTTTGAACTGTTTGTTAGACAAGGTTGAAAGGAACACATGAAATAGGCTATCAATTATTATCTTATGTTCTTATTCCATGCAAGACGCCAACAAATTTTCATCATTGTGCTTCTGTTTTATACAATGAAAGAGAAGTTTTTCATTGTTTGCTTCTCATTTGCATAGGCCATAGGTAATATGGTTTATCCAAAAAAAAGGTATTCTTTAGGTAATTCTGTCTCTTTTTGTAGAAAAATCATGGGCGAGTCTCTATGTATGTATTGTGTTTTCTTTACTCTTTTTTCTACAAAATCATTTCCTCCTTCATTAGTTTCTTTTAGTTTTCATTACTTTCGATTTTCATTACACATTTCTTAGTCCTCGACTTTTTACCTGCATCATATGCGGTATTATTATTCATTTTCATAATTCTTATGTTTTGGAATTTTCAATATTTTTGTTTGTTCTTTCGGTTCTCTATTTGATTACTTTATCTTTTATTGTTTTTGTGAAAAAAGAATTCTTACATCTTTTTTTATGTTCCCGTGAAATTCTGTGATTTGTGTTATCTGAATTTTTATCATATTATACAAATCTTTATCTTTAATGGAGTACGGTGTATTTTTTCCTATAGAAGTTTTGCGAATACTGACATCGACTTGAGCTGTGCTTCAAAAGGTGGGTGAGTAACGAAATTACATCCATAATTATGTTAAAAAGATAAAGTATTGAAAATAGTAAAATAGGGAATCAATACTTGATACTTGGTTATTACTAATAAAAAGCTGAACTTGCAATTTGTCTTTGAAGTTTTATAAAAAATTGAAATGTACATTTTTTGTTGTTTTGTGCTTCTTGTTGCAGATTGAGTCTTTTCTTTTAACACTATCATTTACAAATGAATTTCTCTAAAATTTACAAATACTTATTTTTAACACTAATCAACGAACGTGCAACGCACGTTTCCTTCACTAGTTTTTGAAAATAGGCTTAGTGAAAAATGATTTTTTTTGGGGATGATGTACTTAAAAGTAACAAAAAAGTTATTTATTCATATGTAAAAAAATTATTGAGAGAATGTATGATTAAAAATAAATTTGAAAAAAATGAATATTAAGAAATATGTACCAAACATGAGCTCAAGGTAAAATGGAGTTTATTAGTTAATTAAGCATTCATTATTTGAGATTATAATTTTTGGAATGATATTTTTTTTTAAGAATGCGTGGTTAAAAAAAGAAGAAAAATTTTTGAATTTACTTATAATATTAGTTTACTGAAAAATATATGGATAATAAGAAGTGAGTGAATTATAAAGACCAACATCTATCTTTTTTACTTAGATAACCTAAACATAAAAAGAAATGAAAAATAGAATCTGTAAATTACTAAAATGTCCTTGTAGGTAAAAAAAATGCATTAATTGCCCCAATTTCCATTTCAATTCTCATTTAGTTCTAATTGAATTTTAGCTTTCATTTTTTCTACAACCAGCTTCGACATCTTCTATAAATTTTTTTCATTTTCTTATCATCATCTTCTCTACTTCATTAAACCATAAAATCCACATTTTCATTCCTTTGAGCACTCATTTAGTTGAAGTAGGTATTCAAAGCTTATAATATTCTTGTTGAGCATTTGGAGAAGAAGATAATGTATTGTTAATTTTCTATATTTGGACTTTTTTTTTTCCATTTTTCTGAATAATTTCTTTGTGTAGTTGTATGTATGTTTATGGTGTTCATTGACAATAACGATTTTAAATTCATTTTATCAATGGATTAGAGCTTTGATATAGGTTGCTTCCCAACCTATTTTTTCTATTAGTTGAAGTGAAATGTATTTTGGTAAAGACTTGTTTGGCTATTTTTATATGTTTCTCTACTGTGAAATATAGATTTGATTTTCTGCTGTATAAAAATGACTTACGTATCGTTTTTTGTAATCCATAACGACATACATATAGTTATCAGTACTGTATAAAAATTTGATATTTGATGAATTTTTAAATTTTTTATGTTAAATTGCAATTTTGGATACTGTGAATATGATATGGATATTAGTTTGCTATCTAGTTAAATATTAATAGTCAATTGAAAGTGCATGAAAATGAAAATATGCAGCGAATGGCAATAGAAAAACAATGCTTATTCTTGTTTCGAAAACAATTTCTTGTGTGAACTTGTATGATAAAGACAAAGAGATGTTGAAGATTGGTCCAATGCTATATGTTGACACCGACCTCCGCGGTCACTTAGTTCGGTTGTGAACTTGTATGATAAAGTTAGAGAGATATTGAAAATTGGTACAATGCTATACAAAGTGAAGATGTAAACTCTTGTCCCTATGATGTCTAAGGCTTCAAAGGCAAGATTTCGCTCCATTTGTACAGGCCAAACTGGTAGTGAAACTTAAAGTTGTAATATTATCATGATTTATAACTTTATTATTTTGTACTTACTAGAAGCACAAATGATTTATTAAGAGTGTGTTTGGTAAGAATTTTTTGGGAAAGAATTGATTTTTGAATAGTGATATGATGGGAAATGTGTGGTTGAAAAAGAAGAAAAAAGTATTGATGTGATGGAAAATATTATTTTATTAAAGAATGTGTGGTTGAAAATGAGAATCTGTACCAAACTGTGATATGATGGGTAATGTGTGGTTGAAAAAGAAGAAAAAGGTATTGATGTGATGGAAAATATTATTTTATTGAAAAATGTGTGGTTGAAAATGAGAATTGATTTACTGTAGAAAATGAAAATCTGTACCAAACATGCTCTAAATTTTGTAGTCAATGTGCTATTATCGCTTTTGTACTATTGGAACAAAATTAAAGTCATTTTATATTGCTTTATTAATTTTTTTCACATTACAAACAAATGACTTTTATATCGTTATAGTTGATGCAATTGTCGTTCTAGTTTGAAAATACATTTATTCATATAACGACATTAAAATTGTTCCTAATACACAAAGATATTGATGTAGTTCCAAGGGACCATTTGCTCTATGGTGGTAAAAAACTCAGAGGCACACATGCCAACCATTTTTTTTTGTTGACGTTTCGATTCCCAAACCTTCGTCCTTCATTCAACGGATACCTTTTCTCATGCAATTTTCAAAAAGACAACAAATCATAAGTATCAAACTCACAAAATAACGTAAAGATATCCATATCATTTCAGTACAAATTTGACGAGATTGAAATCGTTTCAGTTCAAATCATAACTGAAACGACATATATATTGTTTTCTTTATTATGTAATGAAATTTATATCGTTATGTATAAAACTCATGAAATAACATAACGACATCCATATTGTTTTAGTACAATTTTGACGATATTGATATAGTTTTAGTTCAAATCATATCAATTTTTA